AGGATGGGTACAGTCATTTTGAAAGGTAAACATTATGTTTTTATTACTCTCTTTTGTTACTTTCATCAACAACTTGGACACTTTATTTATGTGTACAAATTGTCATTTTGATCCCTGTGATCACGTGCCCACCAATTGCCCAGCGGTGGATCTAGATTGATTATGACTACTATTTGTTTTACTCCTTTTCATAAAGTTTTATTAACCCAAAGTCTTTCTTTCAGACATTACAGTCTGGTCTAAATCAGAAGCTGCCAGTTGTCCTCTTAACTCAACTGTAACCCATACCACTACCTTCCTTGAGGTGACTGAAAAGAGTATGGCTTCTGCTAGGTTTGAATTTGGTCTTCATACCAAACAAGCTGTGTGACTTAGGAAAGTTACCTAATGTTACTGAGCTGTTCTTTCATCCTTTGTAAAACTGGGTTGTTGGGAGGACTAAATGAGATAATTTACATAAAATATTTAGCACAGTGCTTATGACAGAGTAGGCTCATAGAGTTAAATGTCATTTTCCTTTTCTTCCTTCAGACAGGGTTTAATTGCTCCAGTCATTGTGGTCCCAATAACTTTGATTGTGCTAGCTTACCACACCTGAAATGTATCAGATGATATTTAAATGCATAAGAAAAGTGCCCAATGATATCTTTATTTATTTTGTATTTTGCGAAAAGTCAAACCTGTCTCCCTCAATATATTCCCTGAAGGCAGGGAATATTTCTGATTCATATTTATATATATTTTTTCCTCTATAGTACCTAGCAAAGTGACTGGTAATAGTAGTATTTAATATGTATTTGCTGACCTAAATTAAAATCAGAGTATTTAGAACAGACTGAAATGAAAAGAAAACAGAAAATCCTTGCAGTGGAAGATGAAGTAAATGGCACTGGAGATAGGAGAAATTAATATTTCCACGAAACAAATCACATGCACCGTATAGATTTTCCTATTACATATCATTCAATACTCTCCATGAACATTTAAAAATTCAATTAAATGACATTTCAAATATTTAAAGAGATAATGATGACAGAAATAGACAGATTCATCTTTTTAAAAATATTTAATATTTTATTTCATGAGCTTAAGTGATATGAATACCTGGTACTGGATAAATTATACCATTAATCATATTAATGATTTAATTGGCTTCCCAGAGTAAATGTTTCAGTTCTATTGTTGCTTAAAGAGAGAATTATTAGAGAGGAAAAGGATTTACTTTAGAGGAAGGCAATTTATATTCTCTTTTCAACTACTAGAGGCAACAAGATAGGACACTTTAGATCCCTAATGGAGTGAGTGGGACAACAAGCCTGAGGCATTTTGCTTCCCTCGCTCTAGTGTCTAGTTACACCCAAATGACAAAATGTCAACCCTAGATCAACCCCAAACTCAATTATCTGATTTTTCCATGCGCCCCCCGCCAACTCTGTCACTTGGCAGTCTGTGGTTGCTGCCTACTGTTTGGGTGTGCAGTGCTGTGGCTTTTTAAATCTTTCTGCTCAGTGGTGCTGTTCTTCATTCAATGGTACATGTCTTGTCAGAGAAATGCCTAGTCCTGCACAGCTCCTGTGAGCTCTTGAATGGGAGTGAGGTTTGTCTTACAGCAGAGCCCCTTGATCCCCTTTCGGTGTTGTATGAATGTGTTGGATGACTTCTTCAAGGAGCTGTGTCAGGATGGGTTTGAAAACGGTTAGGCTTTACCAGAACCATCTTTCTTTTCCTTCAGGTTGTGTTGCTGGGTCAGGTCCCCTGTTCCAGTCTCTTCTCTCCCCTACAGTGATGATTTTTTTTCCTTTCAAGGGTCCTACTGTTTACCTCTGCAGTCTGGCTTCTATTCGTGGGGGCTGAAGGGTGAGAGGGGCTCAGGGAGTGGATAAAGATATTTCTCAGGCGCATTACTTAAACATACTTTTTTTCTAAGCGAAAGTTTATTCATTTGTTTTTAGGCAGAGTCAAAATGTTCCCATATCAAAACAACCACATCAAGGCAGCCACATCAAGATGTTCTTGGCATCAAAATGGCTGTGCCAAAGCTGTGTGTCAGCAAACTTGACTATGATAAAACAGCCTTTATCAAAATGGCTGTATCCTACATTGGCACAGGACTTGAAATGACAGGAATGGTTTCTAGAATGTCATTACTGTTTATAGTAACGTAAAAATGAAAAGTTGTGTTTCTTTCCACCACCAATGCTTCTGCTTTCAATTGGGAGCTAGATTTACCCACAGGGACCCCACAAAGATGATAAAGAGGTACCCACTCCTTACTCCTAATGATCAATGTCTTCTGCAAAAAAGAATTGGATACAATTTGACAAAGACAATCCTGCTTTCACCATGAAAATTGTGAAACTTCCATACTAATTTTATAATCATGTCTTTACACTTTGTTCTCATCACAGAGATCTTTTGGAATTATCTACTAACAATCAGCCAACACATTTATGTCAGCATTGAGGCAGCTCAGAGTCACATGTTCACTGACTACCACTGCATGTTCAATCACAAGCCTGGAAAAACCCATAATACACGATCATGCCCTGACCTGATGCCTCTTCAGGCACCCAATTAGGATGCAAAATCTTTCCTGAAAGGGTTGATGTGATAAACCCTTTCTAACCTGTATTTTCAGGCTAAGAAAGCTTATAGACTAGGGAGATTCTTGCTCTGGGTATACAATACGTAGTGGACATGCCTCTCTGTTCTAACTTAATTGCTGACCAACTCTTCCTTGACTTTCAAGGCACCACACTCTCTTGGCTTTATCCTGCCTCACTGTCTACTCCTTCTCAGTCCTTTTCTGTCTCCTATTTTTCTACCTGACCTCTATATGTTGGAGTGCCTCTGTGCTCAGTCTTGGGCCTTCTTCTCTAAGTATATCTCTCTCTTTAAGACAGCACATTCAATTCTGACACTTTAAATAGCATCTGTGTGCTGACTACTCCAAACATGTATTTCCAGCCCGCATTAGTCCATTTGCACGCTGCTGATAAAGACATACCCGAGACTGGGCAATTTACAAAAGAAAGAGGTTTATTGGACTTACAGTTCCACATGGCTAGGGAGGCCTCACCATCATGGCAGAATGCAAGGAGGAACAAGTTGCATCTTACGTGGATGGTAGCAGGCAAAGAGAGAGAGCTTGTGAAGAGAAACTCCCATTTTAAAAACCATCAGATCTCATGAGATCCATTCACTATCACAACAACAGTATGGGAAAGACCCAGCTCCGTGATTCAGTCATCTCCCACTGGGTCCCTCCCACAAAACGTGAGAATTATGAGAGCTACAAGATGAGATTTGGGTGGGGACACAGAACCAAACCATATCACACACACTAACCATTCCCCATAAAACCAATATTTCTATTTGAAAGTCCAAGAGACATTTCAAACCTATAGGTTCATAATGGAACACTGACTCAAACCTGTTCTTCTTCTTTTTTTTTTTTTTTTTTTGAGACGGAGTCTCGCTGTGTCTCCCAGGCTGGAGTGCAGTGGCATGATCTCGGCTCACTGCAAGCTCCGCCTCCCGGGTTCACGCCATTCTCCTGCCTCAGCCTCCCAAGTAGCTGAGACTACAGGCGCCCGCCACCACGCCCGGCTAGTTTTTTGTATTTTTTAGTAGAGACGGGGTTTCACCATGTTAGCCAGGATAGTCTCGATCTCTTGACCTCGTGATCCACCCGCCTCGGCCTCCCAAAGTGCTGGGATTACAGGCTTGAGCCACCGCGCCCGGCCACCTGTTCTTCTAGTCTTCTTCATCTTAGTGTCAAAATGAACTATATAGTCTCCCAGGCCACATACATAGAAGTTATCCCTGATTTTGTTTTTCACATCCCACATATATAATCCACCAGCAAATATTACTATGGATCTACCTCCCAAATATATCTTGACTATATCTTTTTTCTTCTCTTTCAAATGCCACAACCCTAGTCCAAGCCACCATCTTTTTCCAGGACTATTGCCTCTTTTCTTTTTTCAGTCAATTCAATGAATGCGTATGCAATCTTAACTGATTTCCCCCTCTCTTTTTGTTTTTTAGTTCTCAGCAGATCAAGCAAAGCTCAAGGAAGACATCTGAAACTACCCTATCAAGAGTACCTCCCTCCACCCACTACTTGTTTTTTTTTTGTTTTTTTTTTTTTTTGAGACAGAGTCTCACTCTGTCGCCCAGGCTGGAGGTGCCCTGGCACAATCTCAGCTCACTTAATCTCTGCCTCCCAGGTTCAAGTGATTCTCCTGCCTCGGTCTCCCAAGCAGCTGGGACTACAGGCGCATGCCACTACGCCCGGCTAACTTTATTGTATTTTTACAATAAAGTTATATTGTAAGCTGAGGCGGGCCTGCCTCAGCCTCCCAAAGTGTTGGGATTACAGGCATGAGCTACCGCCCCCGACCTGTTCTTTATTAACTCACCATGTTGACTTTCTTCATAGAACTTACCACTATATGTAACTTCCTATTTCCTTCCTATTGACCATGTTTCCCTCTAGAATATAAGCTCCACAAGAGCAGAGAGTTCAACTCTTTTCTTCTCCATTAGTCCTCAGGGTTTACCATAATGCCTGACCCACAGTAGGCTCTTAACAAATATTTGCCGGAAGGAATGAATTCAGGTATTTGCAAAAGAGGGTATTTCTGGGATTCTAAAAGTTTAGGCACCATCAATATTTGCTGTTGTTCAGAAGTATTCCATTCAGATTGGCCACATATACACGTATAAAATACATGTATTATTTAAAAGGAATGAGCTGAGAATATTTTGAGGCCCAGTTCAGACATAATTCTTAAAAACTACTATTTTGTTTGATTGTCCCAACCTGAACACTGGGGTGACAATCTATGTTGCTTAGTATCACCTCATTTGGGCACCAATCATTAGCTATAACTAAAAGTGTTTTGTTTTGGTTTGTTTTGTTTAGAGATGGAGTCTTGCTCTGTCACCCAGGCTGCAGTGCAGCAGTGCCATCATAGCTTACTGCAGCCTCAACCTCCTGGGCTCAAGTGATCCTCCTGCCTCAGCCTCCCAAGTAGCTAGGACTACAGGTATGTGCCACCATGCTCAGCTGATTTTTATTTTTGTAGAGACAGGAGTCTCAACATGTTGCACAGGCTAGTTTCAAACTCCTGGGTTTAAGCAATTCTCCCACCTTGGCTTCCCAAAGTGCTAAGATTACAAGTATATGCCACTGTGCCTGGACTTAAAGTGTTAAGATCTTATGACAAAACAAAATATTTAGATGAGAAGAAATAATCACATGGATTAAAATGATCAATGTTGATTTTATTAAATAGTTAGCTGAAACATAAATATATACACACTCTAAATAGAAATGTAGTGGGAAATAGAAATTATGATTTTGCAAACTGGTACATGAGTTCTTTTTAGGTAAGTAATTGTCTTTATTTAGAATAATATATTGAGAGATGCCTAAGGGGTGGTAGGTGAGGCTCTGTATAGGTTGGGGGAAAAAACAATAGAAAGATCACAAAATCATATTCTGCAGAGCCAAGAGCAGAAAAAAAAATCACAAAATCATTCTGTATAAGCAATTATTGGGAGGTATGGGAAGAAGAGAGAAGTGGTAAGGCAGGAGGCAGAGTGGGAGAGGAGGCTGAGCAAAATGTCAGGAAGCTTACATTTGGGTTGGTGGAAATAGAACAAGGAAATCAAGTTTTCAGTTTTAAATTGGCTGCTAAAGAGTATTGCATATTTGCCATGTAGCCTCCCTATATGGCAAACATTATCTTTGAATTGCCAGGAACAGTCTACCACACACAGCTGCCTCTCATGAATTTGGGATGGGAAATCAAAGAGGAGGAGCTGTAACCCATTCTTGGGTCAGTGCCAAAAGAAGATAAAGGAACAGCTGCAAGATACTGCAGAGTGAAGAATGGTAATTCAGCAGAAGCCAGAAATCAAACCCAGAGGTACCAAGAGAATGGGAAGCCCAGAAAAATCTCAGGGAGTTTGGGAGAGAATCGACTTCCCGTAAGACCTGGGATGAGGTTTCCAGGTGAGTTTATTAAACTGCAAGGTGGTATTTGACTTCACAAATAATCTAAGAGCCACTGACAATAGGATTCTGCTGACAAATATTAATCACTCCTCACCATAGTATCAGTGAAAACTCTCGTTAGAGATGATAGGTGCAACAGACAATGTCTATGTCCTCTCCCTGACAAATTCGTATGTCATCCCCCAATGCTATGGTATTAGATGGTAGTGTCTTTGGGAGTTAATTAGGTCATGAGGGTGGTGCCCTAATGAGTGGAATTAGTGCCCCTATAAAAAGAACCCCAGAAGCTTCCTTGCCCTCTTTCTGCCATGTGAGGATTCAATGAGAAGACAGTAGTCTGCAATCCAGAAGAGGACCCTCACCAGAATGCAACCTTGCCAGCATGCTGATGTAGGATTTCCAGCCTTCCAAACTGTGAGAAATAAATTTCTCATTTGTGTATAAGCCATCGAGTCTGTGGTGCTTTGTCATACCAGCCCCAAATGACTAAAACAATAGGTGGTGTGTGTTTTGATTTTGATCCTCTCCTTTGATCATTCTATCCTGCTTTATTTGTTTCTGTTTTCCCCTGTGGTTCCATACTCCAACGTAGACCATACTGGCCACAGTGATAGATCACTGTTTTTTATTATTTTTAGAGTTGATTAGCCAGAACAATAAAAATTAAATTTATCAAATCTATGTAGTATGAGCAGGCTAGTGAAAACCAAAATTTAAATAATAGAAAAACCAAAAGTTTTCTGCAAAGAGCATATCCAATTCAGCTAAATCACTTATTCATTGAATTCAACAAATACTCTGCCAAATACTCTGCTAGGTTCTGGAACTTTGACTATGAAAAAACCCAGTTGTTCCTCTCCATGAGTTCACAGTTCAGTGGGGATACAAAAGCAAATACTTATGATACAATGTAGGAATACAATGTAGGAAGTGCAAAATATAAAAAGAATCATGGCTTTTATGAGATCACTGAAGAGAGAGGCACTTAGTGAAGTCTTTGGAAGAGATCAGAGTTAGGAGTGACTTTTTTTGTTTTTGTTTTTGTTTTTTCTTGAGACAGGGTCTTGCTCTATTGCCCAGGCTAAAGTCCAGGCTGAAATAAAGTGGTGCAATCATAGCTCACTGTAACCCTGAACTCTCGGGTTCAAGCGATCCTCCTGTCTCATTCCTCGCAAAGCACTGGGATTACAGATGTGAGCCACCGTGCCCATCCAGGAATGGCCTTTTTAATAAGCTGACAGCTGAGTTGGATCTTTAAGGATATGAAGAATTAGTCAAGACAGATTCTTGATGGGAAGGAAACTGGATTGAGGTTAGATGTAGGAGAGGGAAATAGAAGCAGATGTGGCTTCCAGAAGGAACAGCATAGGCAAAGACATAGAAGGGGAAAAGTGCAAAGACTACATAGGAAACTACAAGTTTTGATTTGCTGGAAACAGTTATAAATGTGCTACAGAAAGGGGTAAAAGGTAGATGGTGGTGACTCTTGAGTATTATCTCTAAAACGTGTAGACCATCTTGTCTGTGATGTGGAAAGGCTAACGGGTTTTGAGGCAGAAAAGTGGAAGGGCAAGAGTAGAGTTTTAACTAAATTGCTTCAGTGTTTAGAGAGAGAACAGTTAGAAAGGGGTTGTAGTTGCACCTGTTGTTATATCTGTATTTAAGGTAGACAAAACAAAGGAAATTTGTTAGCAAATTGTTCTAGACCAGGTGAAAGACGAAGAGAGGCCTTTCTGAGGTGTGGATGGTGAAGATGGAGAAGTGGGAACAGGTCAAGCAATATTTAGGAAGTTAAACTCTCAGGGCATGGTAACCGATTAGATTTCAGAGATGAAGGAGAGACACTACCAAACAACTCTCTTTCAGATGACAAGTATGGATAATGGGGTCATGAGCTAAGATTGTGTCAACAGGAGGTAAAACTTTTTTAATGGAGAAGATGATAAATTTCATTCTAAACGTGAAGTTCTGGGTGCCTTTGGGACAGCCAGAATGAGCCAGAAAATACTAGAACTGAGGGGAGAGGTCTGAAAGTACAGCACCGGAATTCATCTCTGTACAGGTGGTAGTTGAAACATTGAAGATGCCTCGGATCACTTAAGGAACATCTGTAGAGTGATAGATAAGGGAGAGTCCAGGGAGAAGATGAGCCCACAAGGAAGGTAGAGAAGAAATAATCAGAGATGTATAAGAAAAGGAGAGTGGTGTATTAAAATAAAGAATGCAATTTAAGAAGGAAGTGATCAATTGTGTCAAATGATTACAACAGGTGTTGTAACATAGGGCTTAGAGGAAAATAAATATATTCACTTAGATGTCAATTTATTCACTTAGATGTCATTTTGAGAGCTGTTGTCATAGAGTTGTAAGGAGCTGAAGAATGAGTAGGGAGGCAACTCCCTTGAATATCAAAAGAGGATATTCAAACCAAACAAGGGCAGGACCAGAACAGAAAGTTACTGACTTGTCTCACATATAAATATAGATATACAAAAACTAAACACAATATTTGAAGTTCATTGAAAATACAGTATAATCAAGGGGTGTTAATCCCAGAAGTGAATGATACTTTATTTTTTGAAATCTATTAGTATAATTCACTATCATATCCAATTAATGGAGGAACTTAAATGATCACCTCAATAACTATAGGAAAACATCCTTTTTTTTTTGAGATGGAATCTCACTCTGTCGCCAGGCTGGAGTGCAGTAGCACGATCTTGGCTCACTTCAACCTCTGCCTCCCAGCTTCAAGCGATTCTCCAGCCTCATCCTCCCAGGTAGCTGGGATTACAGGTGCGCACCACCACACCTGGCTAATTTTTGTATTTTTAGTAGAGACAGGGTTTCACCATGTTGGCCAGGCTGGTCTTGATCCCCTGACCTTGTGATCTACCCGCCTTGGCCTCCCAAAGTGCTGGGATTACAGGTGTGAGCCACCATGCCTGGCCCTCATTTATTTTAAAATATTCTTCTTAGAAAACCAGAAATAGATCAGATCATCCTAAATATCAAAAACCTACAGCAAATATTGTACTTAATGGTGAAAAAGATGGAAACACTTTCTTCAAAGTCAAGAACAAGACATGATATTATATCCATTCCACATTGTTCTGGGGGTCCTAAACAATGCAGTAAGATAAGGAATAAAAGCATAGGAATTGAAAAGAAATAAATAAAATAATAATTATATGCAAATAACATAATTGTCTACAGAGGATATTCAAGACAATCTTTTGACATTTTATCAACATTTTTTTTTTTTTTTGGGACAGAGTCTCACTTTGACACCAGGCTGGAGTACAGTGGTGCAATCTCGGCTCACTGCAACCTCCGCCTCCCAGGTTCAAGCAATTCTCTTGCCTCAGCCTTCTGAGTAGCTGGGATTACAGGCACACACCACTACACCCAGCTAATTTTTGTATTTTTAGTAGAGACGGGGTTTCACCATGTTGGCCAGGATGGTCTCTATTTCTTGATCTTGTGATCCGCCCACCTTGGCCTCCCAAAGTACTGGGATTACAGGTGTGCTCCACTGTGCCCAGCCTATCAATACTTATAAGAGAGTTCTTCAGGACTGATGGACACAAAGTCAATGTTCAAGAATCAATAGTGTTTTCTGGCCTGGCACGGTGGCTCGCGCCTGTAATCCCAGTGCTTTGGAAGGCCAAGGCGGGCGGATCACTTGAGGTCAGGAGTTTGAGACCAGCCTGGCCAATATGGTGAAACCCCGTCTCTACTAAAAGCACAAAAATCAGCTGGGCGTGGTGGTGCACGCATGTAGTCCCAGCTACTCGGGAGGCTGGAGCAGGAGAATCACTTGAACCTGGGAGGCAGAGATTGCAGTGAGCTGAGATCACACCATTGCACTCCAGCTTGGGCATCGCAGAAAGACTCCATCTCAAAATAAAATAAAACAAAATAAAATAAAATATAGTGGGCCGGGCGCGGTGGCTCAAGCCTGTAATCCCAGCACTTTGGGAGGCCGAGACGGGTGGATCACGAGGTCAGGAGATCGAGACCATCCTGGCTAACACGGTGAAACCCCGTCTCTACTAAAAAATACAAAAAATTAGCCGGGCGCGGTGGTGGGCGCCTGTAGTCCCAGCTACTCGGGAGGCTGAGGCAGGAGAATGGCGTAAACCCGGGAGGCGGAGCTTGCAGTGAGCTGAGATCCGGCCACTGCACTCCAGCCTGGGCGACAGAGCAAGACTCCGTCTCAAAAAAAAAAAAATAAATAAATAAATAAAATAAAATAAAATATAGTGCTTTTCTGTGTCAGCAATAACCAGTTAGAAAATATAATAAGAATATCTAAATTGTAGTCCCAACAAAAGCCATAATGTACCCAGAAATAGATTTAACAAAATATGTCTAAGACTTATATGGAAAAAAATTATGAGACTTTATCAATGAATACAAAATAGAAGAAATAAATAATGTTCTTGAAGGGAAACTCAATATTATAACCAGGTGATGCTCCCTAATTAATGTGTAAAGTTAACATTTTACAATCAGAATCTCAATGAGTGCTTTGTGGAATTTGACATTTGATTATAAAATGCCCATTGAAGAGTTCAGGGCCAAAAATAGGCAAAACGAATTTGAAAAAAGAAAATAAGAATGAGGAGGAATTAAGACGGTATGGTATTAGAGCATAAATAAATCTAAAGTTCAATGGAACAGAGAGCAACACATAGGAGAGCTTGGTATGTGATAGAACACACAAAGCAGCAGGAAATAGCTGGACTATTCAATAGGTGGTGCTAGGTCAATTAGTTACCATATAGAGAAAAATTAGATCTTTATTTCTCACTATATACATAAATACATATCAGGTGGATTAAACTTATCAATGTGAAAGGCAGAATAATAAAGATTTTGGAATATAGTAGAGGAGAATACATTTATAACTTTGGAGGAGGGAAGGCGATTTTAAGGCATGAAAAACTTACATCATAAATGAACATAAAGATGATAAATTAAAATTTCCTTCCCTCCCTCCCTTTCTTCGCTTCCTCCCTTCCTTCCTTCCTTCTTGTGAGACAGGGTCTCACTCTTCACTCTGTTGCCCAGGCTGAAGTACAGTGGTGCAATCTCAGCTCACTGTAACCTCCACTTTCCAGGCTGAAGCCATCCTCCCACCTCAGCTTCCCTAGTAGCTGGGACTACAAGCACATGCCACCACACCAGGCTAACTTTTTTGCATTTTTAATAGAAACAGGGTTTTGCCATGTTACCCAGGCTGGTCTTGAACTCCCGGGCTCAAGTGATCCGCCCACCTGCCTTGGCCTTTCACAGTGCTGAGATTACAGGCATGAACCACTGCACCCAGCCTAAAATAAATTCCTATGTGAGAAAAAATACCATAAACTATGTTAAAAGACCAAGAGAAAATGTTTACAATTCAAAAAACTTTCAAAAGATTAGAGTAAGGCATATAT